GCTTCTGTATCAGAGGCAGCAGTGGGAGAGGGAGCAGGCAGCACCGTGAGGGCCCGTGCCAACAGGGAACCTGCTTAAAAGCTGGCTCCCCTCTAGCATCACCTCCCACTTGCTCCCCCGCCCACTGCTGCCTATCGTACTGAGGCAATAGCGTAAAGGGGAGGGGGGCAGGTGCTGCATGTAACCATCTAGGTTAACTGATGAGCCTAGGCTCATCAATTAGCCATTTACAAGTTTACACTATGATATCCCCAGTCCCCAATGGGGAAGTAAAGGGGAGACACGCTTCCAGCCAGCCACCTTCACATGCCTGGTGATGGTCTCTTTTCTGTATGGTTTTATGAGGCTCAATCCCATTCCAGGAACATCCCATTTTCCTGTCACAACCAAACCCTTATCTTGTTTTAAGTTAAGAGGAAGCGGTATATAAAATTGGGGTGGTTCTAGCTTTTCAACAGACGAACGCTGTCAAATGTGGTAGGTTTGTTATTTTGAGATCAAAACCTTTTTCTAAACTCAAACAATGGCTATAGACATCTTAAATTTGGAACTGTCATAGCTCTGGTCCAATGATTGTATCATTGCAGCTTCATTTCATCATCACTTTTTATACCAACTACATCTCCAGTTCATGGATGCTGAAATCTTGAATTCTGAGAAAGTATGCACAGACATATGTATAAATCAAGTCTGATGTGTATTCTTTTACACCAGGCTAGTGTTCTTTTCATTTGAATAATATACTTTCATGAGTTAGATACAAGTCATTTGTATATGAAGATATTCAAATTTCTGCAAATATAGAGCTAATATAATTAATGACAGAACTTTACTGAAAAATGTGGAACATAGGTCTTCAATATGGTACCTATGTAATCAAGATTTTATTCTTGCTCTTGAAAACTGTCTCTCACGTGAGTCAACATAAAATACGTCTATGTTTTCAGATCTTTTAATATAATGCTGTGTGATTTTGTTAGAAGAATGAAATTTTAGACATTTTGCTAAAATGTAATCAAGTAAGAATTTAACAAGGTACTTAATTGTTTCAAACTATTTAGAATATGCACTGATTATCAATAGAGAATTAATGCTAAAAATTTCAGTACATAAGGAATGTCTCTGAGTTTCAAGTCTTTAACAAGGGAAAGGCTACCACTGATTTTATGCAGGATTTTATAAAGTATGCATTGTTTGTATGCATCACCAACTCTGAAGACAAAATTACATTATAGTTTAAAAATACACCTACATTTATGCATTATCTATATTGACCTCTTCAGAGAGAGATGTCAACATCTGCTCAATGAGCAGCAGTAATACAAAGAGCCAACAGAATGCGGGGAACCATCAACAAAAGGATAGAGAATAAGACAGAAAATATATAAATCCATGGTACACCCACAATTTTGAATACTGAGTATAGATGTGGTCACCCTATCTCAGTGGTTTTCAAACTGCAGTCCACAGCTCAAGCTCAGGTCTCTTCCTTTCCCCACGCATCGGGGAGCCCATTCTGGTACTCCAAGCTTGCCCTCTCTCCCCTGCAAGGTTAGAGAACCAGGGTCAGCTTCCGGCTGGTGGCAGGGCAGAGAAAGCCCCAAGTCTCACTGCACGATCAGGCTCACGGGGAAAAAGCGCATCCCCTACCCCAGCTGGAGGAACAGCAGTGCACAGGCACAATGCATGGAGGTTTTCCCCATTGCTTCCATTGGCCAGAATCCAGCCAATGGGAGCATCGGGAGGTTATGCCTGGGAGCAGCACAGGGCGCAAAGGAAATAAGTGCCCCCTACCCATGCCCAGCCCCCTACACTGATCCCCCTTGCCAAGACCCTACACCCCAAACCTGATCCTGCACCCTCTCTTGCTCCTGCACCCTAGCTCCCCTTCAGATCTCGCACCTGCTCCTCCTCTTCACTCCTCTGGTGGGAGGTGGAGTGTAAGTTTGAAGAGTCTCGGTTGGGGGCCACGACAGTGAGGGGATTTTCAGGGGGGTTGAGTGTTTTTTGTTTTTGTTGGCTTTTTGCTTTTTTTTTTTTTTTTTGCTTCTCACTTGTGTGATCCCCAACTTATTTTTCTGTAGGTCAGTGGTCCCCACTAGGGATGTAATAGTGTAGTCGATTAACTAATAAGCAAAAGCTTATAGGTTAATGCTACAGACTACAAACATCCCCCTCCCCTCCCTTGCCAATAAATTTTTTAGTAGGATGGCCAGCAGCCCGGCTCAGTCCTGGCTTGCAACGGGTTCGGGATCTACTTCTGCTGCAGCGCTGCATTTAAAGTGTATTAGGAGCTGGGCAGGCAGGCAGCCTGGCTGGCTCAGTTCTGGCTCATGCCCAGTCTGGGAGCTCAGAACCCCCAGCTAGAGAGGGGCTGCTGCCACCTTGCACTCTTGACTCTTTCTGAGAGGCAGCAGCACAGGGTGACAGGCAGCTGGTTCAGGAAGGGAACTGGTTTTTAAACTGGCTCCCCTCACGGACCAGCTCCCGCCTGGCACCCTGTTCTGCTGCCTCTGATACAGAGTGGAAGGGAGCTCCTTGAGAGTGAGGCCGGAGTGCACTGGCTGCTGGCCCCACCTTCAGGGTCTACAGAATAGTCAACTAATTGATAAGAATTCATGAGGTTACTTGACTATTCAATTAACCGATATTTAACATCCCTATCCCTCATCCCTGCCATAAATAAGGAAAGTATGGGAACCTTTTGGGTTGAACATAATTAATTTTTTACTTCATTTAAAATGAATTGTGATAAACTAACATGAGAAAGTTGAAGCGTTTAATCTGTTTAATCATTTAAATTCATATTTCCTTTTTTACTGGTTAAATAAAACCATTCTCCCTAGCTGCAGCACTCGCAAAATGGCTTGGACGTAATTTTGTAATTAACGGTGAGCTTCTGTTAACAACTGGTGGTCCACAGAAAGGTTTGCATTGAGCCAGGTGGGCCATGGGCCAAAAAGTTTGAGAACCACTGACATATCTCAAAAAATAGGAAAAAGTATAGTGAATGGAAACAAAAATTATTAGGCATATGGAAAGGTTCCACAGAAGGAGAGATTAAAAAGACTGGGACTATTCATTTAAGAAAATAGACAACTGGGAGGTATTATGATAGAAGTTTATAAAAATCATTAATAGTATGGAGAACGTAAATAAGGAAGTGTAATTTACCCCTACATATAACACAAGAACTAAGGTCCAGCATATGAAAATAATAAGGAAGTACTTCTTCACACAACACACAATCAACTTATTGTGAAACTTATTGAAGGAGGATGTTATGAAGACCAGAAGTATAACTGAATTAAAAAAAAAGAATTAATAGATAAATTCATGGAGAAAAGGTCCATCAATGACTTTTATTAGCCAAGATTGCCAGGGACCCAATTCCATACTATGGGTTTCCCTAAGTTTCTGACTGCTAGAAGCTAGGCTTGAACAACAGGTGATGCAATCACGTGACAAATTGTTCTGTTCTGTTCACTCCTCCTGATGCATCTGGCACCAGTCACTTTGGGAAGGCAGGAAACTGGGCTAGATGAACCATTTTTCTGACCAAGTATGGCCATTCTTTTGTTCTTACGTATGAGTTTAATCTCTGTAAATAGTGGAAGCAGCAACAGTAGCCAATATAGCTGAGAATTCATAAGCAAATCTATAATACCCACTTGCTCCAAGACATTTATAACGTTCAAATTACTTTATTTTTTCAAGCAGAAAATATTCAAGTTTCGTATCTTTCTGAAAGTAGTAAGTTTGAGGGAAAAAAGGTGAGTCTGCCATTTTTGCACTCATGCACAGTTTGGTTAAAAATCACACAAATTACAGCAACACTAGATTCCAGTGCCAGAAGTGTATCATGGTGAATTACCCTAGAGATGTTTATTTGAAAAATTGGAACCAAGAAGACATTAAACTTTCATTATATAATGAAATTGATCAAATGGACTTCAGAGAGTCTCTGCAAGGGTACACCCACACAACACTTAATAAAAGATCAGCCCACAGATAACATGATCAGAAAAAATATATAAATCAAAAAACTTGAGAAGTACAGTACTATGTAGTATATCAGTGCACAAAACTTTTCTATCACTCCATTCCTTACCAGTAATGCACTCCTCTCCATTGCTGCACAGATGGCTCAGTAGAGGAGCTTGGACTGAAGGTGGAGCTGGGGGCAGAACTGGGAATGGAGAAGGAACTGAGTCTGAGGCAGAGAGGGAATGAAGACACAGCTGGGCTAAGAGCAGAGCGGGGGGCAGAGAAGAGCTGTGGGTTTGGAGCAGAGTGGAGCTGCCGCCAGAGCTGGAGCGGAACTGGATTGCGTTCCTTCCCGCTTACATCAAGATACCTTATTATAACCAAATAAAACCTCAACTAGCTTTGTGATCAAAGTTGTTTTAAAATTTAAACAAGTTTCTATAGATCTGCTTCCAAATAAAAATATTGGGCAACCTATTGGAGATGGAACCAGATTTAATACTTAATGTGTTTTTTAGAACCAGACACCGGCGATCAAAAAAGTCATAGTCTATTCTCAAGTACCTGTTCCAGTTTTAACGACGACCTAAAGGATTTTTTAAAAAACTTGCTAGAGCATCTTCATCATCATAAGTGATCTGAAAGGTTTGTGGGAGGGTTTTTGGTTTTGTTTAAACGTTTTTCTCCTTTTATACCTCAGAACAAACGAGAAATTCTTCAGCCCATTTGCTGCAGGCAAGGGCCTCAAAATCTATGTTGTCAGCTTTCACACTTTACTTGGAATAACTGGGTTGTTCGATCTTTAATGAACACTTCCTATCGTCAATATAGGAGTCACTGGCTCCTACCACATTTAAACTGCAGCGCCACAATGGGGCCCCTGACTGACTAATCATATAGTCAGTACAAATTGTATCGACTACACAATAATTCAATTACCCTCTTCTTAACATCCTTAATTCCCGCTGCTATCTTGTCCAAGAAACAGACATTAGATAAAACATTATTAATACCGGATAGCTCTTAGATAGCACTTTTCTGTGAATCTTGAAGTGCTTCAGATAGGCAGCAGTCATCTCCCTTTACAGAGACAAACTGAGAAACAAATGTGAAATAAGCTGTACAAGAACACAACAAAGATCAGTGACAAACACAGGCCTCTCAAACCCCAGCTACCTGTAGCATTGCCTTAAAGTGTCACAACAGTCTCTTCCACACGGTTTTTATACACACCTACAAGAGTTTCTTTTAACAGAAACTTTGGGGAACATAATATTTTGTAGTCAAAACCAGGCTGCATAAAGAATTCTAAATATTAAATAAAGACTAAACAGCAGAAACAATGTGACATGCAAGTGTTATAGAATACGACTATGTGATATGGTATGTCCTTAAGTGCTTTACCCAGCCTTTTTTAAAACGTCACGTAAACTGGACTTCCATTACTTTCTTGGGGGGGACTATTCCAGAATCTAATAAAATTTCACCCACAAAATTTTCTAGCTTAATTATAATTATTTTTGCATTTATTCATGTCATTCCTAGTTATAAACCCTAAAGATAAATATCAGTATAACACCACGTGTAATGTTCCAGTTTGTACACCTTCTCTGTTGTCTGAGTAGTGGTGTAGAAGCACTATAGTTAAGGTTACTTCATGACACCTGTTTAAACATTAATGTTTCTACATCATCTAAAAACAAGGATCTCTCTGAAATGCTGTTTCTTTCTGGAGGTTGAAGCGTTAGTGACCCAAATTTGGAGTCATCTGAGTCAGGAGATCCAGAAATATAAGTCCCCTCCAAAAATAGCCATTTTAAAAAAAGTTTCTATGTGACGGTGTTTTGCCCAGTCGTGGAGAGCAAACTATTACAGCTGCTCCCCAGGGTTATGAACAAGTTACGGACCAACACTTGGTCCGTAACTTGAAGTGTTCGTAACTCAGATCCCATAGTTACACGGTGACCGCGCTGTTCATAACTCAGATCCGCATTTACGACCGCTTTGGTCGTAAGTGCGGATGGTCGTAACTTGGGAAGCGGCTGTACTACGCTAGGGGTCAAAATGGTCTCAACTCAATTTTTATCCAAGATAGTGCTTAGCATTCACTATAGAAACCCAATTTGAGAACAGTAGTTAAGAAAGTGTCTATTTTTACACTGTGCATATGCCAATACAGAAAAAACAGCTACACGATTTCCACTCCTGCCATTTGATATGCTATAAGGTTCTAAGTATGCTATACTCCAAATGGTTAATGATAATGCTTTGAAACGTGGTGTGCCTTGTAGGGGTACAGAGCAGCATTGGTGATCCAAATTTAGGATAATCTGACCAAGGGAGTCCCAAGAGACAGATCCTCCCTTATCCCCCACTCTCCCAAAAACCCCAAAAGCCAGTTTCCCTCTACTGTCTTTTACTGTTAAATCGGATGCATTACAGACCTCTAGAATGCTGTGATCTGATCCTTCAATGAACATACTTATGGATAAATGAATCACTATCACTGTCCTTAGATAAAAGGACTTGTGGACTAAGTGGCGGGAGGTTACTACTATAGATGCGAATAGGGGAGGGTTGAATGTAATCCAAGTCTTTGGGGGGAGACTGCGGCTGTCAAGGCTGTCTTTTTGTGCAACCCACCACCAACCTCAGGCAGCCATGCCCCCCTCCTATCTTCATAAACTCCCTTAGGAGCACTCTGGGAGTCTCTGTGCCCTACCCCGTACGATCCTTACACGCACCCAATGAAGAGGAAGAGCCCGGCTGACTCTACCACACCCGCCATTCCTTTCACACTTGAGGGAACTCGGCGGCGGTCGGGGACTCTTCTCCTTTCCCAGCTCCGCCGGGGAGTGTGTGAAGCGCCCCCGCCTCCTCCCACACACACCAAGGAGGGGGGGCCCTACCCCAACTCGCCCCTTCCCGGGAGCGGGGTGTCTGCCACAGCTCGCTCACGCGCCAGGCAGGGGCTTTATCGGGCCCTCGCGCTCCGGGGGGAGGTCCCGTCCCAGAGTCCCCTTCCTGGGCGGCTCCCCAGCGCTGCCCACAGGCACCCCAGAGGCCAGAGCTTCCGCGCCAACCGCCGCCCTCCCGGCTGTCCCGCACCCCGCCACCG